GGTCTAATTTCTAATTCATATTATAGGCATTCAGAGCCTCTTACAACTAACCTGATCGTAGAATCATAGCAGTTTGTAATCACACTACAGGGGCCAACTTAGCCGAAAAGGCGAAAGCGAAAAGGTCACTTTAAGGGGAAATTCGGGGGGCTCATTCGACTTTGTTAGTAAAATCTCTCAGGAGTGTTTCTTGGTACGAGGATCTCAATATTCTTTTCGGCGGAGTCCCCCCCCCCCCCCCNCCCCGAAAATCAACAGCTTGCATACCTTCAGTTGCATTTAATTTTGCGTCCTTAAGTCGTTGCCGCAAAAGCACTGTGAAATTGACGCATATTAACTCAAACATAGCGTATAATAGCTTCTCCGCATACCTTCACTGGAAAAAAACACATTGGATCTAGAGTCCAGACTCTTGAAAACATCGACAAGAAAAAACACTCTTGATTCAATCAGATTAAAGCTTAAATCAAGAACCAAGCTTCTTAATTTGATCGGATTTCCTTTTGATTTAAGCTTAAATCTGATTGAATCAAGAGTCCTTTTTCTTGTCCATGTTTTCAAGAGTCTGGACTCTAGATCCAATGTGTTTTTTTTTTCCAGTGCTGTAAATAATACCCATATGAATTAGGAATGACACCGCGAGTCTTTCGGTGTCTTAAATGTTAGAAGAAACGCTTAATTGATTTAATTATCAATTTATCTAGCGGACTGATGTTGCTCTGTTCAGTATTTCCATCCAATCAAATTATCACCTTTTTTTTATCCACCTTTCGTTTTGTCCATTACCTGATACTGCTCATATGTCTTGTTTTTTGTGTACGCGTTCCATTTCCAATGGAAGTTTTCCGTCTCGTATTGAACGAAATCCATAACTTTTCACATTTTGTGCTTATGGCGAAGTGTTTGGTACTTATTTTAAGTAAAGCATCATACAATTGTCAGAGTCACTTGATTGCTCAAGCGTGAAACAAATAATTGAAGGTTAATAACTATCGCAAGCTCTACGAGGTATTAGATCCAAGGATTTCGTCGGTATAACCAGGGTCTCAATAATAACAATAGAATGTCGGGGATCGTTCTGTAGCCTTACCGAGTCTCTCATTGAGTATTTTGTCAGGTGAGTGGTTTCTGCGAAAACAATTCAAATTCATGAAGTAAATAAATGTAATTAATTTTACATGCACAGCACCTAAACCAACGAAAGTAATGTGATCGAATCCCTGCGAATTGCATCCCCTCGGAGAGATTAGGTAATCAGTATTTATTGGTGTGTCAAATACTTACTTTGATCCCCACTAATCGAAAAGACACCGACTATTGTCTCCCCCCCCCGGCTTGAATTTGAATTGATATTATTTTTGAATTTCCAAAATTCTCTCCGTTGAGTTAGCAATCCCGTCGTTCTGAGCGTTTTCGGTTTCGTATCGACGTCTTAGTGAAAAGTTGGGTTAGTAACTCAATTTGAGACTCAAAAAGTGAGCACGAACAGGGTGTCTGCAAGTCCGGAATTTCCGGAAAGTTCGGAAATAGTTCTGATTTTTTAAGGGCGGTCCGGAAGTACTGAAAAAGTGCGGAAATTCCCAGAATTTTTCATTTTTGTCGCAATTTGAGAGAGAAATTAAAATGTTTGAAATTTTTCGATTTTCGTCAAATGGAGGTACTGAAAAAGTACTGAATTTCTTGGGAATGCACTGAAAAAGTATACTGTAAAAGTACTGATTTTTGGCCAGCCTGTCTTAGTAGACACCCTGACGAAGTACTTCGCGTTCGCTCAGCAGTTCCATTTAAAAGAAGAAAAGGGAGAAGAAAAAAACGATTTATTGACTGCCAGAAGTTCTCACTTGTCGAGATTACCCATTCATCAACTGACAACAATGCACATAATTATATCTATTAAGAATCCTCATCGTGACGCGACGTCACAAAATTGCCAGATTATGCGATAAAATGTGGATATCTGTAAACATGGGTTCAAATGGGGGAATATTGCTAATTTTCAGCATTATTTGGCAACCTTGCGACGTCAAGACTGCATAATCCATACAGGAAGGTAAATTATTTCATGTTCGCGTTTCTTTCCTCGTGAAGTTTTTCTTGCCAACAAAGATTTAGTTGAACATTTTACATATATCTGTGACCTCCTGGAGATTTTGTTAAATAGGTAAATGTGTAAACGACTAAGAGTTCCGTTCTTTGGTCCGCTTGGGGTACTCTATGACAGAAATGGAAACTGTCGTAGTGTGATATTTTCTTTTTCCACTGAAGAGGGGAACAAAGAAGAGCTTTTGGAGGTTTTTGGCAAGAGGATGGTGACTTGCTCGGAGTCTCTTTACCCAAGTTTTTGGGTTTTTTGGAGTTTACATATAACGTGAGTAGTCACCCCATTAAAATATGAAAGAAAATCCAGTAAAAACTTAAAAACGAAATCTGACTTGTTGGGAGGTGTGATTTATTTATTTCCAATAACCCACAGTTAGACGTATCTATGCTAAAAGGAACTATGCTTGCACACAAACCATATGCACATAGTTCCTTTTAGCATAAATACGTTCAGTTAGAATAGAGGCGCGCGCGAGAAATGTGATAAGTTATCACATTCTTTTCACGACGTGAAAGGATTACAGAACTCTGTGATAGTAGATGGAATGATTTATTCGATCCCCCCAAGTATTTTTCCTTTCAATCGATCGCTCATAGGTAGGTGTAATAACTCAACTTCATTATTCCCATCGCCGGATATTTTTTATCTGTGGTCTGAAAATAATTGAGAGGTGGTATCTCGTAGAGAAACTCCTGTAAATGCTGTCCAAAATAATTCATTGAGGCCTATTTAAATGAAAGTAAAAAGTTTGAAGATATTTAAATCGTGACTAATGAAGTGTCAAGAAATGTTTTGCGAGGCGTAGTATGTAGCTTTGATCAGGAAGTGAGCAATAGTAATTGTCACTATTTGTCACTTTTTGTAGGTAGTAAATTTTAACCAGGATTTTAAAATTAAACCGAGCATGTATGAATTGTCTCCTTCTGAAAACATTGCGGTCATTGGTTCTATACGTTTACTCACTCTTGAAACCAAACGAAATGAGACTCAGCATTATTGTTTAATCTTTTCCCCCCTGTGAACTCTCACGCCGCAGACCAAATAATCATTAAGTGTACAAACAACATCTCTGAGCAATCGGTCAAATCCAAGTTCCGTTAAAGCCCAGTTTACACTATCAAACTTTTCATCCGATATGATTGAACGAAAAGTTGGATGGAAAGCTGGACGCAAAAAAAATTGATTCAATTACCGTTGCAGTGTGATATCATCAACAGCCTGCGGTTCGCGGGGGGGGGGGGGGTGTCCAGGGGGTCGGAACCCCCCTCCCATAGTCTCGGCGATTGTACCTTTTTTTTACTTTTGGAGGGCAGACATAAAATCGTTATAAATTATCAAAATATTATTAGGGACGTACACAAAATTATGTAAATTCACGGTCACGTTTTTTAATGCCCCCCCCTCCCTTAAAGGATTCCCAGCTACGCTACTGGTCCATGATAACTTTATAGGAAGTCCATACTGTGTATCAACCGAAGCCTCAATAACTCGTCTGAGAATGTGACTGGACCCGCGATTTCCATAGTCAGGGACGGATACAGGATCTCGTTATCTAGCATAGCTTATAAGTGAACCCGTCTTCCTCGGTGATCTCGCGACTGTCAAGCTTGGGAGTGTTTTTAAGCGCCGGGTTATGTTTATTTTGGAACGGACCAGACCGCATGGTTATGCTTAATTATTATTAATGACTAGTTAAGATCTGTCGCTCGACCGCGATGTCGCTGCTGCTCGGCTCGAACGCGTCCGTTATACTGCGACGCTGAGGAAAAACCTCTTATCCATACGGAGTTTCCATTGGACGTGGGCGTTTTTCGGTCCGCGGAGCCGGGCGTTACGGGCGCCTCTACATTGTTCACCGTCGGTCGGTCCTTCACTCATTTGCCAACGCAACACGACGACGGATTTTGTCATCTATATCGAGGGCCAAAGCTACGCCAAACCTACGCATTTTGAGTATTCCGTGAAATGACTCCAATAACAAATTACCGCACTACCAATCTCATCTCGAAGAAATTTCTTCTCATGAGGGAAAATTAACGCTCAAGGCTTCCAAGTTTTGGGTAACGCTTAAAGGGTAAGGAGCTCTAGGTATCTGCGTTAAGATGTTTTACGAATAAGCAGGGGTTGAAGTTTAGCGTTACAATGTAACGCTCTTCTTTGTAGAAACTGAAGCAACACTGATTTATTCATCGTTACCAAACTTACCGGTGGTCTTGAACCGAATTTCGTCCTCCACAACTAAAATGTCCTATTATACAATGACCAAACCGCGCAGAAAAACAGTTAGGTACTTATATCTTCGGAGACATTAGGAATCTGTTATCGTAATCTTTTCCACACTTACTCCTATTTTTATTTTATCCTGTGGTCTCCCAATGTCTCTCCCAACTTCTCAGTAAACCTTGATTTGGTCTCGTATTCGACGCAAGCTCGGTTTTCTGTGTGTGAAACGCTCCTAAAGAAACTGTCCGTTTTAAGTGTTTTTAACTGGACATAATGAAGTAATCAAAACCAGATCCTCATCAAAGTACAAGACATGGTCTCCCTTATTTATTGTCAATAAATAAGGGACAAGACATGGTCTCCCAAGTTTATTGTCAATGAATTTAAGGGCAGACTCTTAAGTAATGGCACGAGCAACATCAATCCATAGATAAAATGAATAAGCACCAGTAGATAACTATTGTATAGCAAAATTTTTAAAGTCAATTTGTAACATATACCGGTTGAAAATTTTCAAGGAATCACTATTTCGGCGAAATCAAAAGGCAAAATTACCCAGAGTCTAAAACGGCTCGTGGTGAACCTGGATTGAAATTGGCGCAGTCGGCACCGAACTCCGCAGACTGCATAGAGGATATTTTCCGGTAGTTTCGAAAGCGTGACGCCGTGTCGTGTGCCACCAGTCCCGCAGATGGCCGCCGCAGACACTCGAGAGGGGGGCTCGGAGCCGGACTCCCAATCGGAAGAGGCGCCCCCCGGCGAGAGGGTGGACGAAGAACAGGGGGGCGCCACGCCGAGTGCCGAAGACGCGGAGGCGGCGGCGGCGAAGAAACCGCGGCGCTTCTCCTTCCTCCACCTGCACATCGGCGAGCGGCCCTTCGGAATCGGGGGCGCCCACGCGGCCGCGTCGGCGCCCACCCCCGTGGGCTCCCGCCACCGGCACCGCCGCTGGAGCGAGGCCGTCTTCTCCGTCGTCTCCTCGCACCTGCCCACCTTCACCTTCACCGGGGCCGACGACGACTCCGTCTCCACCTCGCACTCCCTCGGCAACCACCGGAGGTTCAGTTTCGCCAACCTGCGCAAGTTCTCAGGAACGGTCAGTCTTTCCAGCGTGAGTGTGAAACCCTTCCTCGTCCGGAGTTCCTCCACCCGAGTTCAGTTCAGACGTCTGTGCCGCGGATTATTGTCCCGACCCAGCACTGCTGTGCTGAGGAAAATAACGCCACAAGGAAAAAATAGGTATGTGTTGGAGAGACAAAACGGGTTGGTCAAGCGACGCTGCCTAACTATTTTGCGGCCTGCACCTGCGGGTTGATTATTGAAATCGATAGACAAAGAATACATTAGGAGCATGGAACGACCCTATTGGTTGAAGTGGGTGGTTCCTATAGACAAAGAAAGAAAATTATGGACAACCTATAGTGTCTCTTGTGAGTTGCCGTTAGTCTATTACCTACCTCCTTTGTCCATTACAACCATCCGCTTCCACCAATAGAATCCCTCCATATCTGTTTTGTCTGCTTTGTCTATCAATTTTAATAATCGGCCTGCTGCTAGTTTAGGGCTAAGACGCATATCGGGGATTACGCAAAAAAGTTAGGGGACGCCAAATTAACCCATCCGTCCTGTCTACCCGACGCAAATCGTTACTTACGGGATGTTCTTTGCCAGCAACTTTCAACACTCAACTTTCAATGTAATTTCTCTTTACCTATTCATGAACCTTTCTCCTGTCTGTCCAAGAATTCTTTCCTTTGATTTTATTCATTATTGCCGCAATTTTTGAATGCCATGGGTAGGCGGGCTAAAGTTATCAGTAGGACCAGCAAGCTCTCTGTCTGAACTCGGTGAGCAACTCCAGTTTTCTCTCTTTCGCCCTCGACCCTGCATCGGTTTTTTTTTAACTCTAACCACTCAACTGTTTTGGAAAGCAGCGATTCTTATACTCACTACGATGTTGGTGGTGTTAGCTCAACCCTATATCGATAACTCAAGTTGGAAAACACATCTGCAATGCAGTTTTGAATTGATGCCTATTTATTTGACTTGTATTTTATTTTTCTTTCCTCCCAAATTAATAGACCATCAGCACTCAACATTTTTTCACTATTTTTCCCTCCCGTCTAAAGTGCATGGGTATTCTAAAAAGTTACAGGTGTAACATCTCATCGATTTCCATAAAAATAATTAAAAATTAGCAGATTTGTGTTCTAACTAAAACGATTATTATAATGATAATCTGCTCGTGAAGATTTTTCATCTAAGGATTTCCTGCTCATTTTATAACATTTGTTTTGATTTTTCCTAACTTCTAATCGCACACTCTTGAGTGAGCAGGGGTGCAGAATGTTTCTGGGGTCTACGATTATTAATATTCTCATATTCAAAACCTTTGCCAGCAGAGCAAATGCCCATACCCAACAAAGAAAGATACATCCATGCGGTGACTCAAAAAAATTTCAAAATTCAACGCATTATCATCAAGAAATCTCCACATTTGCTTCACAACAACAGTTTCCTACGTACCATGCTGTAGTATTATCCCCTACGATCCAAAATTTTCTGCGCCCTTGTGAATGAGCATTCAGCATTCCTAATTTGTCAATAGATCTTGTAAAAGATTCAAATTTCACACCATTATAGACCGATAATGCATGATTTACTCGTATACCATTGGTATGTAACGTTATGCATAGGAATTAATTTTTCGAGCATTAATAATTAATGGTAAGAAGATTGCGGTTTTCAAATTGTGTGATGTGATCATTTTTCCCTTTCATGAATGTACCTTTTAGAAATAAACCCAATGTGATATGTAGACATAAGCGTCCCACAGTTTGTTTTAAACTCTTCATTGAGCTTATGTTAGACGATTGAAGTTACATCCTAAACTCGACTGTCTGTTTCTTTGATTTTGCTGTGATGTATTTAAAGTAGCACCAGTATTATTTTCCATTTCCCTCAATGAACTAATGAAGGAGGTGGATAATTTCTTAGAAAATTATTCTCTCGGTCTATGCTCGGGAAAAATACTTTAAGAATGAAACATGTCTGATAATGAACGTTTTAGTATGTTCCAGGCCTATTCAGGCCTTACTTTAATGTTAAACTCAGAAACTATCATCAGAAGAAAATTGGACTCGAAGAGGTTAAATCAGGCTCATTGATGTCATTTTTTATGTGATTATCAATGAGCTCTGAGCTTGAGAAGTGCTATGTTTATTTTTTTATTTTTAGTTTAATGAACTTTTAACCATGAATTTTTTAACGGTGTTACTGGTTTTTTTTTCTTCCCCCCCCTCCCTGTTTCTTTTTGCCATATGTATGTTCTTATTTTGTTCTAAAACTAAATCATTACCCAAATGATGATTCTTTATTCCTGGAGTTGCGAATAGGGTCACAACTATCTGAAACAGTTCAGCCGAAAATTCCCCCAAATTATAACTCGATTTGGTGTGATAAATTTCTTGATTCTTATAAGCTCGGACCTTTTTCGAAAGTCTTACTCATTAGATATATATTCGGTGCATTCGAGTGGTTCTCTCATGAGATGAATGTATAGAGTTATGGGTGGAACCAGAAATTCTCTGCAAAGAGGACTAGAGCACATGATTGAAAGGATTGACATCTGAAAGGAACGAGAGGAAACAAAACCATGAGTTATTCTTAAGTGTTGTTGATTCATCAATCTACGAGGGGCATCAAAAAAGTAAGGTTCCCTACCTTGTATCTTCCAAACGGAAATAGATAAATCAAATCGGTGAAAAATCACACATCAGGCATACTATAAGCTTAAAAACTTCTTTGGTGGAAAGCGGTTTCCAACTGATTCGGAAGGGCAGAGCGCTGTCGATGACTGGCTGTGGTGCCAAGACAAGAGCCTCTGCGCCGAAAGCGTCATGAAGCTGCTATATTGATACCAAAAATTTCAAACATAGATGGAGACTATGTAAAAAAGGGAGGTAAAGTCTACTCAATAAAAACGTTTAAACTGATTTTTTATGTGATGCTCAGCGTCGATAACCCGAGTCCGAATTAATCGACCTCCGCGCATCCTGACTGGAGGTGGACACGCGGCGACAGGAGGTTGTCTCCGTAAAATTGAGTTTTCTCGCAATTCTTATGACCGATTTTCAAAAACTTGAGCTTGTTTTAAAGCTTACGGTATACCTGATGTGTGGTTTTTTTACCGATTTGTTTTATCTCTTCTCGTTCGGAAGATACAAGGTAGATAACCTTAATTTTTGGATGCCCCTTGTATAATTGGCTACTGTAGATTAGGCGACAACTAAAATCAACTTACGGAATGGATGAGCTTTTGGAACATTAAAATTTCCACCATTTTGAGGGAGTTTTTAAGTCTTATTTTTCAGCATGAAACCCTTTTTTATTTACCTGTGAAATGAACTTTATTTTTTTAACTGCACTATGTTTGTATACCATTATAAATATGTTAGTAAAATTATGCTATTTTTCAATTTTTCATTTTTTTTTTTTTTTTTGAGTTTTCTTGCGTTTTTCAAGGAAAAGTATATTCTCTGGGTCACAACTATGTAATATCAAAATATGATCAGTATCCCTGCCAAAATACCATTCTTGCAACCTACATTTCACAGCATTTTCTTAAGGATAAAAGTTGTAAATTACTAAATTTTGCTTTTCTCTCTTGCAAGATTAATGAAAATATTTATCAAGGATCAGCATTATTACCCCTTCTTTATTATCACACCGTAGAATCATTTAAATTTTCAATTTGAGAAAGATTCCTCCCTTTCATTTTCTATTTTTTGTCGTAAGTCTATATCTTATCTTATGTCTAGCTCTTTTAAAAGTATGTCTAACTATCAACCCCCACTGGGACTATCGGTTTTATGTTGAATCATTGACACAGCTCTTCTTTGCTCATTTTTACTGTTTTCTTTGCATTTTTGCAAACTCACTATCTGGAGCTATCTGTGTTAATTTTTCTCCTCTCTTTTTGCAGAATTTGTATGGAAGTGATTCGATGGTGTCCCTCTGCTATCGTTCTCTCACAAATTACATCGCGGAAGACAGACTCGATGACTTCAAGCGCTTCATTGAAAGCAAAAGTGTCAACGTTAATGATCGAGATGAGGTATGCTGTACCATTAATACATTTATGCTTAAGTAATACTTTGATTCCTGAAAATAAAGTAAAGCTACTTACTGACTTGCAAATTAATTTTTAGTCTCTACACATATCCATAATAATAATCTTTGTTTTCCTGTTATGGTCAATCATTGTGTCTTAATGTCAACTAAGTTAACCAAATATTTTACCCACTCACAATTTATTTTTGGATTTTACAGAATGAAGCAACAGCTTTACACTACGCTGCATCTACAGGGAAGTCAGCTTTTGTGAGAGAGTTGATCAGTCATGGAGCTGATGTCAATGCAGCTGACAATGTAAGCATTATGTTATTTATCTCTCCATTCTCCCCTTATATATTTAGCACTGAATTTTAGTCAGTTGTGTTTTCAATCAAGGCGTATAACAACAGGGGGCAGAACGAGGCATTGTAAGCCTCTAATGCCTTAACTCATAAAAGTCACTGATCAAAAATATAATCCATTTGACCGTATGAAATGCATTAATGCAAGCTTTGATGCATCATGGTATTTCCGGTATGGTTTTTTCCAGCTGTGTAACCCGTTTGATCCTCTGAAATACATATGCTTGTTTTAATGCATCAAAGTAATAAGGATACGGTTTTCTTTCGCTGTTGTTACAGCTCTCGCTTTAAGAAGTCCACATCTGTGAACTATGCAAAGACCTACTTTTATATTGCATTTTACAAAAAGGAACTATCGTTTCGTGCTCATTTCAGATACAACATATGTCTCATAAGTATTCCTCTAAACATATGTGCTTCTAAGGACAAGTAAAAAACAGTATTTCCTCGTTGCAAAATGAAGTCCAATTATTTTGTAACTTTATTTTAAGCAATAGTTTTGTTTTTACCCCAAAAAATTGGCTTTTTCCTGTCCCTTCGATTTTCCTTGTTTCAGTCCTTGTTCCTTGTTTTTCAGCAAATACTTGTGTGTCTGTCAAACTTTCCCTGTCCTGATCCTTTCCTCTGAGGGTGAATTTAAAAGAAAGTCATTTAAAAGCCAATTATTCTGATTTAGCATTCTATCAGCTTGCCATTTATCTCTCTCCTTTTCGAACAGCCACAACATTTGAACCATCTGTAAGTTAATATATTTACCCCTAGTATCTTAAATACTGTTCAGAGACAAAAGTTTTACTAAGAAAGTGAGAAATGCTGGTTCTGAAGGCACTTTGCAGGCAGACTAAACTTTGTTCAGAATGTCTGAAGTTCTGCATTAACGTTCTCAACAGCAACCAGCTCTATATTGATCATTTTCGTGTGACTCTAGCTTTGCTGTAATTTTTTGCCAATGCATCTCATAAACATTAGTTTCAAACCAGATAGCTTCACTGAATAGGTACAAGGTATTTATCAAGAATTGATGTGTGAATTTTTATAAAAATTCAACAAAAAATTATTTTAGTTGTAATAATCAATGAAAATGAGTTGCTACTGCCAGAAAATTGACTGATGTCAATTTCAATGTACCTGCCGGTGGGTTGTTTCAAAAAATGTTTATATTTTTTTCCAATAAGTTTAAAATTGTATTTCAAGGTATCTCCTCAAGTATTCTTTAAAATTATCATTCATATCTTATTTTACATTACATATTTTTAGGATAACTGGACTCCCCTTCACTGTGCGGCAAAAGAGGGTTACAAAGATATTGTTACTGAGCTCCTGGAACATGGTGCGAAGGTTGATGATCGGGACATGGTAAGCTTATAATTTTTAACTCAACGTTATTGAAAAGAGGCATGTTTCAAAAAGCTTTGTTCCATTCAATGAGCCCTTTCCTTGGACAAGGAACTCAAACCCTAAGAACGGGACAGAAACAATAATCTAAAAATAAGTATTATAAAGAAGTGAGATAGAGTAGTGCAGGAAGCACAGTCAGGAAAATTTCTTAGCTTAATGAATTTAACAGAGTAAGTCCTAATTAGTAAACTTTGTAGTTTGAAAACAATCAGCCCAGACAGACTCTTTTTAAACTACGCAGAAAGCTATGCTAAATCTACCATTTTGGGTATTTTTATTATCGGAGCCCATCACAATCTAGTCATTAGCTGAACTCATCATTTCAACTCAGAAAAAAAATTATAAAAGTAAGATTGTTGAAAAGATTAAGGAGTGAAAAAAAAAAAAAAATTCAAAGTTCAACGAGTCAAAAGGGCCTCCCCTCATTTAATTTATGACCAAATGAATTGATCTCAATCTCCATTTAATGATAATGAGTTGATCTGTCAAAATCTTCGGAAGTAGCTCAGAAGCTGTATCAGTCTTCATAGGATGTATTTTTGGGACACTATATGTGTCTATAGGGTCCCCTGTAATCTTCTTCGTAGAAAAATCTACTCTTGAGTTCAATTTTTTTTTCCAGGGAGGATGGACCCCTCTCATGTGGGCATCCTACAAAGGTCATTATGACACGGTTGTTATTCTGTTGGAAAGAAACGCTGACGTGAATGCCCACGGTAACTACCACATCTCATCACTCCTCTGGGCTGCTGGGCGAGGTCACACTGATATAGCAAAGCTCCTTTTAAAAAGAGGCGCAAAAGTCAATGTCGGTGACAAAGTAAGTTCTTGTATTTGGACCTTTTCTTCAATTAGTTCAGTATTTAATCGTTTTCGTTCTGTATGTAATTATCTTATATTCTTTGAAATCATTCTCATCTTTTCTCATGATGTTCATGAGAGAAAAACGTAAAAAATAATGAGGGACTGTCGTAAGCAGGTTATAAAATACCAAAGTATCAAGGTAACCTTTTTTTACTTTTGATCAAATAAACTTGCATCCTGTAATTTAGTATGATCAATTTTGAATTCAGCTCATGTGATATGCAGAAAATTCAATCGAACATTCCCATTTTATGGTGCGTACCCTCATGGACTCAGAAGTCATTGAAAAGTAACTTGCTAAACTAGGGAGTTTGTTTCAGAAGAAACTCATGGCACCATTGTACTTATTTCTCCCAAAAATTTCCTTAAGGATAAAAAGTACTTTAATCGCAAATCCATGTAGCATGCCAGAGCTCCATTTGGATGAGTAACCTCAATTTGGTTTCATTTGCAGTATGGTACAACAGCTCTTGTTTGGGCCAGTAGAAAAGGCAATGTTGATATTGTATCAGAACTAATGAAATATGGCGCAAATGTGGATACTGCTGGAATGGTAAGTTCTATTTCTTCTCCTCACTGCTGAAATTTTGGAAGTCCTTTTTTGTGTTGTTAGACCTGTTCATCATTTTGTATGCTGAGTTAAATAACTCAAATTTTCATTTTAAGAACAGTTTTGCGAATTGATACCATAATATGTATGCATATTTTTGTTTAAAGAAGAGAGTAAATGTATGTTCAAAGTATTGGTGCTAGGATTATTGTTTTATCCACACAATGGAGAATTTGCATGCAAATTTTTTATTGCTTCATCTGAAAGTGCTTTAAGAGCTAATATCACAGTATTTTTTATAATTTTTTTCTGGTATGGAAAATAGTATAAAAATAGATTTAAAGGTGAGAAAATGCACGGCCTAATGACGTCATTTGGCAGCATTTCCCATTTAAATATATGTATTATAGCAGATTAGATCATTTTGTCATATCTTCTCCAATAATCGTTCAATTCATGAACCAAGGGTATCCTCGTGTTCAGTTCACTCAGTAGTTTCTTTTTAAACGTGGAATTCACACAATTTCTGACACCTGCAACTTCTCCATTAAGATATGTTGATGATGCTAATTGTGGAAGCCAATGCTTCTCTTCATCAAAGTGTACGTGTGAGAAAAATTTCTCTGTTAAAAAGAGTTCTAGTCTATGAGTACCTGCAGGGCGATTATTGAAATGATATCGACTGTTTGTCGCCGCTTTGTCGTGTCGCGCCATCNCCGATGGCGCGACACGACAAAGCGGCGACATACAGTCGATATCATTTCAATAATTGCCCCGCTGGAATAGTTAGCAAAGTCCCTTGTCACTCCTAAGTCCCTGTTTAGTCCCTGCCATTTTTATCACATTTTTTGAAGCCTTTTCAATGACAGTGTTTTGATTTTTTTGCACTTAATAAATTATGTTTTTCAATTTCAGTACTCATGGACTCCTTTACTCGTAGCAACAATGAACAATCACGTCGAAGTAGTCGCTCAGTTACTTCAAGGAAAACCGAACATTAATGCCCTTGACAAGGATGGTTGTACTGCATTAACAATAGCATGTAAAGAAGGTTTCCATGCAATAGCTTCTGCTTTAATAAATGCTGGTGCTTACATTAATATTCAGGTAATTACAACATAGTAAAATTCTGTGTCACTGTGCCATCCTAGGTTAATACTTCTTCTTTGTTCAACATAAGGTCTATTGTCATTCTTAATTGAGCAAGCATGATCAGAAATAAATTTTCATTTCATTTACTTATGTATATTTTTAAATGACAAAGGAGCAAATAGCACATGAAACAAGTGCACAAGTGTAAGAAATACACAGCAAAGAACAATACAGCACCATGACAGGATAAACAAAAATAGTGTAGGAGGTAAATAAAAATCTGAATCTCAGAAAATCTTGGTGAATAGAAAAGATCCTGTCCTTGACTGAATTTTTGAACAAATTAACATCAACATGATTGACCTCAGCTAAATAGGAAAGCAGACCCTAAGATATTTTGCAATGAACTGAAGCAGAATTAAACAATTTAGAGCTGTAATAATTTGCAACGAGTATTCCAGCAATGAAAAACTTTATTTTTCTCTTTTGATGGGTTCATCATCCAAATCAGTCAACTCATAAACGTCTCTCACTATGACTGCTTCCTTGTGCAAATTTTAAGTTTACCTAGTTGCATCAATGAAAAATTGCTTTCCTTTCTCAAATGCCTGAAATTTGATGTTTCTTTTTTGCATTCTTATTTCAGGACAGGGGTGGCGATACAAACTTAATTCATGCTGTGAAGGGCAATCACCGCAGTATCGTTGAATCTTTGTTGAAGAAGTACGCAGATGTTGATACTCCTGGCAAAGTAAGTTATCAGATATTTCTGTAGCATCTTGGTTTATGGGGCTCTACACAAAAGTGAAATATATTGAACTGTGATATTATATGCTCTAGGGGACTTGAATGTTTTCTAGTGAAAACATACTACCTTGGTTAATCATCCGAAGTGGTTTCAAACTGAATTCTAGCATTCGTTGGCCCAGAAACTAACCGTGTCTATACTTTTGATATTGGCCACGCAACATTGGATAATACACCATCCAAACCATGCAGAACTCTCAGCATAACATCATTAATGTTTTATCCAAATTCATTAAATTTCTCTCTCTTTTCTTTTCTTTTCTTTATTTAACCACAAATAAACTAAAAATTCAATGCTGATCCGTTTTAAAGTATCTCTCATATATTACGTGCGTTTATCATTCAATTCTATAAAATTTAATGCCTATCCATGTTCAGCGTAAAATTTATGTTTATTTTCTGATTTCAAATCTCATCCTTCAATTTATTGTGTTTGTGCAGGATAGGAAAACAGCTGTCTACACAGCAGTCGAGAAAGGAAACATAGGAATTTTGAAAATGCTATTGGGTGCTAATCCGGACTTAGAAATTGCCACCAAGGTAAGTCTTTTCTCTGAAGTAATGTTTATTTACAGTTAGTAAATTATTAACTAGCAAATATCTATGAATTTTAGAATTATCATGTTCAGTAGCTTAATTTTTAAGTGGTCAGCTTGGTGAGTGATTTTTGCCTTTAATCTGCCGGTAGTTTACTAGAATATTAGTGCTGCAGCTTTTTAATGGTGCACTAGCTCATCAACAAGATAACTTGTTAACTTTTTGATCAGATGATCAATTTAAAAGAAATATATGAATGTTCAATGCTTTTCGTGACAAATCACGGAGGGTTTAAATATTTTTTTCAAAATTTACTCTGCTGAAGAGTGTGTAGTTGTTTTCTAATTGATACAATGTATTCTGACAGTAAAACCCCTGGACTATGTATCTCGGCTTGTAACGTCGCACGCTTCCCATTAGGTATACTTTGTTTTATGAATAGAAAGTTGCATGGAAATTCCTAAGTACTACCATGAATTTTCTTCTCTGTGTGGAAAAAATCCTATGAAAACTTGGGGGAACAACGTTCTCCTTGAAAATTGAAAAGTAAAATAAGAGCAGAGATTTTAAATCTCAGCAAACGTAATACGTGGTTTGGTAATTTCACTGTCCATTTGTAGATTTCAAATTTTTTTTTTTTTTTTTTTTTTTTTTTTTTTTTTTTTTTGTAATCTAGTTTTTATCTCTCAATCCCCATTTTGCGTTGCTTGTAGTCTTTCATGAGAAATAACCAATTTTCAGGTATCAATTCTCACAAAGCGAAGCTTGGCTTTTCTATTTGTTATTTGTTTTTGTTTCATCCGTACACACCAAGAAATTACAACAGTTATCAGGAAGAGTACCATCATGTAGTTAAGGATTTAGACCAGTACATGTCAACGAAAAAATTGTGTAAGCTAGAAAGTCAGCCCTCCATTTGTAAGTTGCAGCAATATGCATCAGCCCTGATGTTGAGGCAACTGGTAACCGGCCCGACTGTCATCGTTTCTTGTTGGTTTCTAATTTTTATCCTGAGAACTTAGCTCTTAGCTTCAAAATTCCTAATATAGTCTCTCTTATTTGTTTTTCTCAGGATGGTGATACTCCATTATTAAGGGCTGTAAGAATTAGAAATGCTGAGTGCGTTCAACTGCTGTTGGAAAAAAAAGCCAAAGTAACAGCTTGTGATAAAAGAGGAGATACTGCATTGCATATAGCCATGAGAGCAAGATCCAAAACTATTGTTGAAATATTGCTAAGGAATCCTAGAAATAGTCAATTACTATATCGGCCCAACAAAGCGGGAGAAACACCTTATAATATAGATATGAATCATCAAAGGACAATTCTAGGGCAAATATTTGGTTCTCGTAAGTACTTCTTCAATTATTTTAATTTTTGGTCCCTGCAACTGTTGAAAATGAAAATTTTGATCCCCCCTTCCTTCTAATCATGATTTATTTCAGTGTAAATAATACATACTCTTTTACATAATCCTCACTCTTGTCACAAGAAAATCTCTCCCTGGATTTGTTACTGCACTTTAAAATACGTGCAATACGAAGCAAAAGTGATCATGAAGAGAAATTAAAAGTTATGTTTGTGAAATATTAAGTGAGAATTGCTTGCATGCAGAGCTATGGCTGGCTATCAAAAGTCCTTTTTCCCCACTTGTTCTTTTTTGTGATTTGTTTTTTACTCATAATTAAATTGTCTTGTTTTTTCCAGGTCGTTTAAATACAAATGAGGACAATGAAAATTTATTAGGTTATGATTTGTATTCAAGTGCTCTTGCCGATATGTTAAGTGAACCTAGTTTATCAATGCCTATCACCGTCGGTCTTTATGCGAAATGGGGTAGTGGCAAATCTTTCTTACTGAGTAAACTTAGAGGTAAGATCTACCGTAGCAAAATTTATCTCTTGTCTAAGAATCTGAGGTATTAAGCCCTGTCCACACGAGCCCGGTTCACGGAACTTATTCAACGAACTGCTCGGTTTCCCAAAACTTGTTCTTTAAACAAGGGATGCTGTCCACATGAGTTCACCCAAACTGGAACTGGAACTTCAATAAAACTATACAATTATTGCAAAATAATAGATTACTACGGCCGGAGAGTAACAAAAACAAATTTCAAGACACAAGGGATGTAAAAAACAAAAACAAACAAATTCACAACAAAAGAAACATACTAGAAGCTCGGAGTACGGGGGAAGTTCTGGGTTTGGAGGAAAACTCAGCTAAAACTTACTCCTTGGACTCGGTTTCTTTCACACTGAGTTTTGGCAATGTATCACCTGATTTTTGCCATTATTCATCTTCAAATACTTGGAAATCAGTACACGAAAATCTTTGAGTGCGAAAGAGAACCATCAGTCAGGTCATTGTGGGGAGTAAGGCATGTAAGCTCCTTAGAATTTTATTAATCCACAATAACCTCACAATTAGATCATGCTATGGAGCTGTGAAATCCGGATTTGAATCCACTTGTGTCTCTTGTTATAACAGTTGTAACCCTGTGAATTTCATTTCTTTTGATTGTTTTTTGATAAGGCTCTTTTTTATGTTTTTCCACCAGAGGAAATGTTAAATTTTGCCAGACAGTGGGTAGAACCTGTCTCTGAGTTTTCATGGCTGTGTCTAGTTCTCATCACTCATGCTGCCATTGCATCTGGCGTTTGTATAGGAGTTATGTTTCAATCCTGGGTGTATGGTCTCGCTACGGTTGTTACAATAGTGTTTGTCACTTATGTCTTCCTTGTTTTTGTTGGAAGTGGTGCTATTAGGTGAGCTCCAGGTCTACACTTATTCAAATACTTTTATCAGCTCTCTTAGGGTTGGGATTCAAATTCTGCTCCAATTTTGACAAAAAATCATCAATGCTTACTTTTGCAGATGAAAAAAAAGTGGAACTTCATTCCCTAGATGAATAATTCAAGTAAAATCTTAAACTTTTTTACCCAAAAATTGTAAATTTTAAGAATTTCGGTGCCTTTGGATCACCTTTTTCAAGCAAATATTCTTTATTTTGGGTCAGCTAGTCATTTTTTATGCTTTTTTCCGTGATTTTCAATTTGTAAATTTGCATTCAATGCATTTTTGAAAGGTAAAGAATCGATAGGAATTTTCTCTGCATTTTTTGAACTGCATTAACTTTCGAAGAAGGAGTTCAAAGATAAGTAATTTGAGCACCCTCATTTACTGTCATCCTAAACTCCTCATCAAGAAACCCTCAGTCATCCTAATCATGCTGTCTCTTCTCTATTCTTCCAGGTTAGATTGGCTGTGGCCTTATAATGTTAATGTTTTTTTAACTAAGAAAATGAATTCCTTGTTGCTCATTTTACAAGTCATATTCTGTCACCCTCCTGGATCACAAAATGTAGATGATAGCATCACTGCTCAACCTGTAAAGTAAGTATGATATAAAATTTTCACTATGTCTCAAAACGTCTCTGCAGGTAATAATTTAAATTTTGGCTCTTCAAAAGATGAAGATAAAGTGTGTCTGGCCCGTTGGATCATGAAATCCCCCTTATCAAGCCTTTATCAGGCCGAATTTTATATTATTACTGCATATTGATTAAGTTTGAACTGCAGACAATCTGCCGCATAATTTCAAGCCAATAGAGGCCCCCTGAAGGGTGTCATGTAATCAAACCAGCCAATGGAGTGGTGTTATTTCAGCTTGGTTTAATGGACCATCTGACAAGGTGCGAATTTACGCATAATGATGAATGGATACTCATCAAAATTTCACGTAGAACATGATTTGTACAACAAAAATTATTGATAATATCTTCTAACTAAGATATTAAAGTTTTCTGATGCATAAATTCAAACCTCCCACTCATTAAAAAACCATCATCTACTTGAGTTAGATTTTACACCAAACGTTACAATAACGGTCCCTACGGTTTGAAAATATGGAAACCTCAATCTAAGCACTTTGGCTGAGCTTTTGCACAATGTTTAAGTTTTAAACAACACAGGCTGGGGAAAGAACACTGCTCCATTAAGAAACCTGCCAAAACCGTTGTAGCGTGCTGTTTGATTTATGTAGGCTCTATTTATTTTTGTGAGCAGGAAATTCAAAGTTTTCATACCCAGTGCCGAATAAAAATTAAAAATTTTAATAACTTGTTGGGAGTTATTGTTAGTAAATTATAATGTAAGTGATGTTAGCAAATCATCTTCTAAGTGAAATTTTGAAGAAAAAAACGTGCATCAGAATGCTTGAATTTGTACCTCGGCTAGTGGTCCTTTGTTATCCTTCCATCCAGTCAAAATTTCAATAACAGCTGATATCTAATTTTGTGCGCTGTCCACTTCTTTTATTTCTCAAGCTGTGCTCTAATTTTTAAATTTTACCCAATTAATTTAATTTTTAGTTTCTATTAACTTTGAATTCCTTGTAAATTTTTCTTGCCATCATGAACCGTGTTCATGGTTTATGTAGGCATATCAAAGTTATTTTTTTGGAAAGCTGCTATCAAGACTATTTATTTTCATGAATTTGTAAAGATTTTCAAAATGCATCATAATTAATTTTATGTAAATTTCGTCTATACTCTTAATTAATCATTCATTTGGTTATTTAAATAATTAATCTCCATGATTCTTTTTTCCCCTCCAGATTTTATTTTACTGATCAAACTCGAATCAGTAGCACTGCTCAAGGTGAAAATACTCTAGTTCAAATGATTGGATCTTTATACGATTCGATCGAAAAGGATTATGGATCAATTTCCACTAGGTTGTACAGAGCATTTCGACCAAAACCTTGTGAGTCTGCATATCTATCAATTATTCTAGACTAACCTCCTTCTTCAACTGCTAAATTTATTTTTGTGTTGCCAGTGAAGGTAAACGGAGAATACAGAAGGTTTTATTTTCATGCGTTTTCAAAAAGGACTTTGCACATAAAACTAAGAAATGCTGCACCAGATAAAGTACAATATTATTTGATATGATGTTCCCTATAGCTTGCTGCGGATGATGAGCTTTTAAAATTGAACTGTCTATGAAATCTACTAGGTTAAATCCCAGTGATGTGAAATTATCACAGAAAACAAGAGAATTTTAAAATTTCTAGTAAAGCACATGTGTCTCCATTTTTTCTTCTACTCTATGAATGTCAAGGTGTTCAAATTCTAATTCAAATTTTCTTCAATGTTCCTTTCAGTTAAATCCACATCATCTTGGAAATGGAGGAGACTTTGCTGCGCTCCTAATATTATAGTTTTTGAAGCTTGTATCTTCTGTTTTTTGCTTGGTGGCTCGGTGTTTACAGTCTATTTGATGGAAAAAGAATTAACCGAGTAAGTGAAATAATTGTTCCCTCCATCCTTTTTGCCCCCTTCAAAGAAGAACTAGAAAGAAACAACAACAACACACATAGAATCTTGTTAAAAGAGGAGTGAATTGTGAAACAGCCAAAAGGCACAGCCCCTCTGTGTATTCGATGAATTGTTACCGCTTTGTGGAAGTTGAATTTGCAAACAAAATTAGTTTCATTCATGTTGATGTATTATGTCTATTTAGTTTTTAAATTTTTGGTTTCTCATTTAGAAAATTGAAAAATTCACTTTCTGACCTTTCAATTTTCGCCTCTCAATCAGCCTATAAATTTATTTGTCCCAAAACTGGAATTAGTCTCAATTCAATTCTAACCAGAGATGCAGTGAAAAATTTCAGTCTGTAATCTTACCCATGTTTTTAATTTTCCCTCTAGGCAAGGCAGAAGTATTGATAAATTTGTTTCCCAAGTGATAATGGGTTTGTGCATCACATTTCTGGCTCTTGGAATTGTCTCAAATTTGTACACGTGGAGTCGTGTCATGCAATCATTAGTATTTTCTCTCAGAAGGCAACTACAGAGGTCTATATCCAAACTTGAGTCTCTAAAATCCGAAGGCTTCCTGCAAGTTTTAAGGTCTGAAGTTTATCTGATGACTGATCTTGTAAGTTTCCTTTGATATTATTGGTTTTTAGTGTTTTCCAGCAATTGTAACAATAGTTCTTTTGTCACTTAGTTCTGTCAAGTAATGTGCACCTCAAAATGTTCTTGTTTTGTTGACGTCACAGTAAAAAGTGGTATTGCTGAAGGAACAGTTTTTACTTAAACTGAAATTGATTTTTGAAATGACTTTTAACTTTTCTATCTATAGATCTACATTAAATGAAAGTAATCACTGAACAGCATCTAAGTGATTTGCCTTCTCAAAGTGAGAAACTGAGCCAATCTGTCAGTGAACAGATGGTTATCAATTTTCATCCGTAAAAATGTTGCATGTTTTTTACAACCAGAAAAACAGTGTAGTGTATTTACTGAGTCAAAAAAACATTTAAAAATGTGGCCCGAACTGTATGTAACAAGGTTGTAAAATAGTGCTGGCTCCACACTATTTTGCGGGGAAAAAAAGGCTAAAAATTCCAATTAGAGTAAAAAATTTGAGCTCCTATGAGTGTCAGTCTAAGACAGAGAGGGAGAGTGTTAGAATTGAGAGTGGTTTCCAATTGAAATTCTTGGACTTTTCGGCCTTGCTTTCACCACAAAATAGTATGGACACAGCACTATATCACCACATTGTAACTAAGTAGTCACATAGCAACTGTAATATCACTAATTATAGTACAAAAATAAAAATCTCTGATTTAAAAAGAACAAAAGTGAACTGAATAGTGATGATTACAGAGAATTTACCTTGTCTGATGAAGGTTTTTACCTTAGATTACCGACTAAAAAATTTGATCACTTTCAGAGTTTGAAGAACGTACTCATTATATTTATCAAGATTGGAGGTTTAAATGATTTGTAATGTTCTAGGGTGTAAGTTTCTTCAGATCTTCATAAATGAGTGGATCTATGGTCATTAAGAGGCTACTTTATTTCAGAAGAAGAAGGAAAAAACAATGTACCTTAAAAAACGTTGATTTCCTAGCCCACATAAGTTGAATAATGATTTTAATGTTTAGGTTTTCTTTTTAGTATTATTTTCAACTCTAGCTATGATAATGTGTTTCAGGTTAAATGTTTGGATAGTTTCACTCAGCAGCAAACCCGATTGGTGATCGTCGTTGATGGTCTAGATAGCTGCGAGCAAGACAAAGTATTGATGATTTTAGATGCTGTCCATGTCCTTTTCTCTGACCCAAATCATCCTTTCATTATTATACTTGCGATAGACCCTCATATTATCTCTAAGGTAAGAACCAGAACTTTTATCGTTGCTCCACAAAATTCACCTAAATGTGAATCAAATATGAATCTGAACTAGCGTCTAGGCACAATGTAGACCTTTTATGTTTTGAGAACAAATAATGAAACCCAATGCAAAAATTTGAATTTGCCTCTGATACTTGATTTTTAGTCTAAGGGGTTTGTTTGGTCATTACTGAGATCCCTTATTCATTATTTTTGGTGCTGATAAAATTTCTTTCCCTCTCGAATTCCTCTTGACTTTTTACATTTAAGTCAAATTCAAAAGGCAGAAAAACCTTGCTAAGTTGAATGTCTAAAAACCAATAAAACTGAATTCTTAACCCTTTCCGGTCCGCGGCAGTTTTCCACGGCCGTCGTTAAGTGAGGTTAAGGTAGCAGCGATGTTGTCAACAAAGACAGTGGTTTCCAAAGGCTCCACCAGAGGCCGCCACTTGCTGGAGCAGTCGAATATACCCGATATCGGGCCTGCACAGAAGTTCAAACTTTTGGGCGACTATATCCGACATCGGACCTAAACGCGTTATTTTTCACGGCGAATATATCCGACATTGGACCGGAAAGGGTTAAACTTCAATTACTCCTGAAATAAAAATCCTCAACCTGTGTAATCTCCAAAAACAGCGGATGTTTCTTACCTCAGCACGAAATTAAACCCAAATTCAGTCTCTTTAAAGAGTTAATGTGAGTCATTGCACAGTTAAAGTTGCCATTAAATGAAGGAGATTAGTAACATCTTTGGAATTTGGAAAATAAATAAAAAAATTCAATAACCCCTGACTTCGTTTTTAACATTTTTCGAGTATACCCCAAGAATTGTCTGTTTTTCAAGATTGCTTTGACTTATACAAGATTTCCATTGAAACTCCGCTCTGTTTTTTACATAGATCTTTATAGGAAAGTCTCTGTCTAGGTACCAAAGACAATTTGAAGTAAAGCGGGATTTCATTTTAAGTGTTTTAAGTTAATTTTATTACAGATGATTTCGATTTCCCAAAATATCTTAGCTTCAATTTATCTTCGAAATCGACCTTTTCCCTTCCAGTTCCTTTTTTCAGGAGAAAGAAGTAAACTTAGGACTCTCAAATTCTGTATATATATTTTTATCGGAAATATTTGTTTTGCCTCATTTTTAGGCTGTTGAAAGCAGTAGTAAACGACTGTTTAATGAGTCAAACATTGGGGGCCATGAGTATTTGCGGAACATGGTTCATTTGCCATTTTATCTACAAAATTCTGGTTTGAGGAAAGTAAAAAGTGCCCAAAAAGCAGCAATGTATCACAGGAAAAGTGTAACAACGGGTCCATATGAAGAACAAGGAAACCTAGTACGCTCTGTGAGTAGTGACATTATTATTTTTAAGTCTTCCTAAAGAAACGTAGATGCACTATATCTGATCACTGTTTTTAGTATGTTTCAAAATAACTTAGTGAAAACTTTCCAGCAAAATGAGATTCTCTATCAGACTATCAATCTATTGCCAACATTTAAAGTAAAATTAATCGAGACATTATGTTAGACATGATCAATATCACTCAACTTTTGCCATCGCTTACATCACAGTTTTTGCCGAAGACTTTTTAGTTTTAAGTATTGAATATCGAATATTTTAAGATTTTCGATAATCAATCATATTGACATTCATAATTCCAGGTTATTTTGAGGCTTGAAATTTTGTACTGACAAAGGCAACTAGTGAAACATTATTTTTCATAGTTTTGAGAATATCCTTTAATTTGCTTTAATTTTATTCAAATTATTTTCTAAATTTTTGGGAGTATGCCTCTAAACAAGTTTGAATTCACTTAGATTTATGGATTTCACTATGTGTTTTAGTAACTAGAAAGTGAAATTAGAATAAAAAAGATGCCCCACTTACATTCTATTCTTACTGATATTTAAAAGATTTAGAGAAACTTACTTTTGATACGCATTGATCTAATAACTCCCATTTGCTATTGTAGATTTCCACAAGGCGGTTATCAACTGAATCAGGAATGAGCAGTTGTGAAAAATTGAAACTTCCCAGTTCATCAGTTTCAAGGGGCAAAAATTCCCGTGGTGGTAAGCTGAAATTGAGTGAAAGTATTGCAAGCAGTATCGGTAGTAACATCAATCGAGTTGGAGGTGCACAAGATCTAACAAGGATGTTGCTGACAGATGATTATTTCTCCGACGTCAATCCCAGAAGCATGAGAAGATTGATGAATGTTGTTTATGTGACAGGTATGTACGGTGCTGTCCACAAAATCAAACCGAGCCTCGATCTATTTCGGTACTCAATCAAAATTTTTTTCGGAATCAAAATTTTAGATAATGTCATGATAAATACTTGAAGACAAAAGCTTCATATCTTACCATTCCTCGCAGTTAAATTAATGCAAACAATTTTTCTTTTTAAGTTCTACCCATTTTTGTGTAAATTGTTGATACAAAAAGACAGGACATTTTTATCATTTTGGTAAGGGAAAACTTTGAAAAGGCAGGAAATTTTTTCCTGCCGAGTTTGTAGACACCCTAGAATTACCTCTTGTTTCCTCAAAGAAGGTGTTCTGAGGAGACTTGCAGGGGCTTAATAAACTGGTGAGACAAATTCTGTTTTCATCTCTATTTTTTGATCTCGCACTATCTTTTAGGAACTGCAGTTTTTCCATGTATCTATAAGAGACATATTGTTACACTGCTTGCTTTGATGCAAACAGTCAGTATTTAAAGTTTTCTTTCTCAATTTTGTAGCCCACTAGAAAATAAATTTCTGTGACTTTATGAAATGATTTGGCTGTTAAGGCTGCTAATCAAATCATCCACAATGAGATAACAGTGTGGAGATGAAGACTCTTCTAAATAATTGCTTGAGAGAGGCAGTAAGTAAGTTGCTAAAGCAAGCCTCTGTTACTAAGTTTAGATCAAATGCTTATATCTACTAGTCAACTATGGTTAAATTAACTTCTTTGGATCATTTAATGTTCAACAGGTCGGCTCATGAAAGCATTTCACTTGGATTTCAATTGGTATCATTTAGCCAGTTGGATTAACATCACAGAGCAATGGCCTTGCCGAACCTCATGGTTAATACTGTATCATGAATTCTGTGAAGACCTAGACGATAACATGAGTCTCAAAAGTTTATATGACAAGTAAGTATTCGCCATCTCTTGCTCGGTAACTTTAGACCAAGGTCTCTGTTGCAACTGTTCATTTATTGCTCCACTTTCACAAGATTTACGTAAGTTAGTATTATTTAGCTATCATGAGACAGGTTAATCTAACATCATTTTGTCCGTCATCATTTTAAAATTTGATGCCACGGTTCAAACAAACAAAATGAATTTTAAAGCAGGGAACCTTTTCTTGTAGTCATAACTAAAACACAATAACAATAAGTTTTCATATTGTTATTAATAACGCTCTTCAACCATTTTTCTCAGAGTGAGACCTCAAATACCCGTTTGCAAGGAAATGGAATCACTCGTTGAACTGGACCGGGATGAGAAAAAATTTGATGTCTTCCTTACGTTTCATCGAAATTCTCTCTTAGTTGGTGATCTTCGAATTTTTCTTCCATTCACAATTAATTTAGATCCTTTCATAAAAAAAGTGATCAAAGGAATAAAAGGTAAGGATTGTTCATGAATATTTTCCTCATTTTCGACTGTCCTCTCTTAAAATCTGTAGATTGCACTCAGAAATCAAAAATGAAAACAAGAAGTCGAATTTGAATTTACAGATATTTTTCTCAACTTCAGACCAAATGTGAACATTTTTTCTTTATTTATTGTTTAAATTTCTCAAAACTTTTTGTAAATGTATGAAAAACCAGTTTGCTTTTCCACTTCAGATTGGAGTTTTCAGTTTGATTGATTTACTTTCAAGAAGCTTCTTCCCTAAAATTAAATTATTCGATGATAAAAAATAATCTCAGATCTTTTATTTCCCTTATCAAAGAAGTAAATTATATTCGATTATCTATTAATCAATCACAGGACACACCAAAAAGTAGGCATCTGAAAGTCATGTGTCCTTATCAAAATTTTGTCCTAAACCTGTTGAGCATGTTGAAAACCTCCAGAATTATGTCATAAGTGAAAAATGAATGTTCGTAATTTACAGTGTAAGTTTTAAATTTAGACTTTCCGCTCGTCATAAAACCATTATCAACATGGGTCAGATCAGCCGCTTAAAAGTAACGTATACGCCGCACAGTGGAGCAAGTCAGTGGGAGAAGGCGGACGAAGTGTGGAAACTTTAAAAGCTCATATCTATGTTAATACAGAACATAGAGGTTTTAGAAGAGGTCTCTTAGGTTCTCTCACAAAATTTCCTTCAATAAGTACCCTGCACAATTTATAATGTGATAAAATCATCATTAAAATTTGCAGTTTCAGTAAAAAAACTTCTGAAATTCCTCCCTGTAAAACTTGTTCCATTGTGCATTAGGCGCATAATAATTGGGGCATGGTTTCTTGCACATTTCTCTCCTTTTCTGATACAAGGTACCCCTAATCTAATTAAAAAACAATGAGCCTAGATAAAGAGAATTCATCCATAGAAAGGTTTATCAAATTAGTTTCGTATTTGAGTTGACTTGAGTAAACTTTGGTTCTTTGCGAGTGGGAAGTGCAAGTGTTTGACATAGACTACAAACACCATTTTTTGACTCATATATTGAATTTAAAGTCTCAATAGATTTATTGTATTCTGTATAAAATTCTGAAGGGTAGACATGGATTGTGGTGGTTAATTTCAAAGCCTGTCCAGCTGCTTGTCATTGCTTGTGAAACTGACTTGTCTTCTGTTGCTAAATTTTCAGAAGATCAACAATATTTTGCAGAAGCAAACTTATTAGCATCTGGTTCTGGCTCCAGACCAACTGTTCCTCCTGGTGTCATAAGTCCATGGGTACCACCCGAAGGACAAGCCTCTGCTGACGTAACAAGTTGGAGCCCTCAAAGGAAAACCAATCTCTTTCGTAGACAGGTAATCAGCTTTCTTAATTTTCTTCAAATTGTACATTAGTTTTATTCCTTTAAATGTTGATTTATTTTAACCCTCTTCAACTCTGGTGGGCAATCTATTAAATAGAGCATTGAGAAAATGTATTGACAAATATATTATGTATTTATATTTTGTTATCATTTTTGTAAACTCTTAAAATTTGTGAATAATGTCATCTTTTTTGGTCGTATCCTAAGTACCAAGTCCGTTGCTTTCACTCCAAAACTAAGATCTTGATTGATCACTCATTTTATTTCATCGATTGTATTAAAAGAACAATTTATTAACTCATGACTAACGCAAACATTTATTTCAACTAAAAATTAACAAAGGTTTGATAATTTTTGTGAAAGATTTTTATCAATCGCTTTTTAGGAGTATTTCAAATTTCTTAATTGGGAAGCATAATCCATCAGCTTTTTTGTCTTTTTCATCAAATTTCTCTTTGCTATTTGCTCTCTTTTTACAGTATTTGCTCTTCTGAATGCATTTCCTCATCCTTTCTCTCCAAATCTGAAGTAAGGCTTTTTAGAAATCCTCTTGTCAAGAGGTTTTAAGCACCATGGAAACAGTGAATTAACTAACCATTTAGCAAACTAAAAGGAATGTGCGGCTGTGAAGCAACTTTTCAAGGGATGGACATAATAGAAATTGCAAGATATGAGATTGGAACTGTATGCTTGGCACCAAAGAATCTGCATGTCTGTGCTCCCCACTATACATATTGAAAGCTTTCGCAGTGATCAGATTTACACATTAAAATTTCTCATAGTCAAAATTTTTCCAGGCTATCAATTTACTTTTCCCAAAAAAAAAAAAAAAAAAAAAAAAAATCAATTTTGACCCATTGAGTTGATAATCATGAGCTGGTAAAACGGTTTTTCCATCACGGCCAAGAATTGTCATGTTAGTTTTAAAATGTGAGTATTAGTCTGGGGTTTTTCACTCGTAGGACAGTCATGCAGCGTAATCATTGTGCTACAAACGTGTGTAATTCTTGCCCAGTCTGTGCTTGTTTTTATTTGTTTCTCACTAATATTGAAATAACCTAAGATTTTTAATTTTTTCAATGTTATCCTATTAACTTTTTGTGGTTTGTGTTTTTTTCTCAATTTCCAACCAATCGATCGCAGCAAGCCACAGTTCTTTTTCGGTTGATGAAATGTCCATGTTTATTCTATGGCTTTAACCCTCGAAATAAATGTAGCAAAAGCGTTTACATGATTTGATTCTGATTCGGTGAAATGAAATTGCTGAATAGTCCTCAGTGGTAAATTACGGTCGAAGAGGGGAAGCAGGGTAGAGGTACAGCATGGCGGTTTATCTCCCCTTCCTTTGAGCCAAAGGAGAAAAAATAAGAGGCCCAAGGAGGAAGAAGAGGTGAAAAAGGAGAGAGAAGATACAAATAGTAAAGCTATAACTTCCTCGCAATCGTTTCAAGACCAAATTTATCTCTAACTGTGGCCTTTTATTATTTTTCGGGGAGAGTAGTTTGTTAGTTATCCGCAGGTTTTTATCTGTTTATCGCTCCTTTTTCGCCGTAGTACTTGGAAACTGCAAAACAAATGGTCTAAGTACTAAAAAAAATAACAGTGAAAGAGTTAAGTCCGTCGATTTTTAATTCTCAATTCTTCCAAAAATCTTGAATTTTAACTGCTTATTTGATCTGGAAGAGTCGATTTTTACAAAATTACTCCTGAACCTCTTCTACTCCCCTCTGCCCCCTTTAGACCCCACATTGACACCACCAAATGACTCTCCTTAAACTCTCTCTAGATCTGCCTCTGACAGAACTAATGTAATGCTTTAAAATGCAAATTCATTTAATTGATAATGAAGAAACTTGTGAATGCTGTTCCAACATTTCAATTAATGTTTCCTTTTTTGTATGTACAGAAGTCTCTTTCATTTACCTCTACATCAGCACCAACTGCAGCTCCACCTGTTGTGTACCCTCCTTCCATTGCTCATGACCAGTGGCTAAATAACTCAAGATTCACAATAATGAAGCCCGTGGATTATAACATGCCTGTTTCTGTCCTTCCTGTGAGTTTGTCTCCTGTTCAACTCTTTGCTCCCTCAGATTTCTCTTTTTTTGTGTTAAGACGGCTCAAAGTTATTCCTTTAAGTCAAGGAGTTAAGAAATGTTTCCCAGAAGTGGAACTTTTCATTTAGTGTCTAGTTTTCAGGGTGAACTCACCTTAATCAGTAGGTAAAATTTAGGGCTGTGCGAATATTCGCAATTCCGACTAATCGCGCCGCGAATATTCGGCGAATATTCGCGCCGTCGCGAATAGTGAATTTTTGAACTGACATTTTCAAATATTCGCGCCGTCACGAGGCATGAATTTTCAAATATTCGCGCCATCAAAAATAACGAATTTTCGAGTGGCAATCGTGAAACGTTGCGAAGACCTGCGCAAGGCTTCCGCTTCCACCCGAGACATCGCGAACGGCGGATCTCCTTTGATCTTTACCGACTTTGCCGAGTTTACGAACAGCGAGCGCGATTGCGATTGGGGGAATAAGCAAAGAGCCCAAATTAAGGATTGAAAGACGCAGAAATTTCTGAAATTGAAAAAAAGGTTCATAAACACATTTTTATTTATAGCGAAAAAAATAAAATACTAAAATGTGTCTAGTGTCGATACTAGCTTGACTGCCCGCGCAGTTACCTTCAAATCCTGGAAATGCATACGTAACTGCAGGGACAGTCAAGCCAGCATCCAGGGATCTTCGAACAAATTCTTAACAGCCTAGGCTACCATCATAGCATTTCAATGTTTAATGTGCAGGCGTATGAGCAAATGGAAAATTCTTAAAAATTAGTCACATTTTTTTTATCGACTTATAATATTCGCGAATTTTCACACTTAAAAAAGTCATTTCCAATTCTTCATTTTATTATTCGTAGCTGTGAATAATTGACTTAAATTATTCGTTATTTGCTTCGTTTGGAAAATTCACTATTCGCACAGCCCTAGTAAAATTGCATTTAAACTCCATGTATTTGTCAAACTGTTGTTATGCTGTGTCCATACGAGTTTAAATAGTTAAATTGCGTCTTTTGACTGACTTATTCTCCCTCTTCCATAAATTTGTCTCTAACTCCCTCTAGATTTTTGAGAGTGATTGCTCTATTAGGGTTCATTTAATTTAAATAAATATCAAAGTTTTTCAACTCCAAATATTACTCGTAAACTATTAGTTTGATTTATTAGTGTGTCCAAAGACCTCATCTTGCTTCTTCTGTCCATTTTAGTCTGAGTTATCAACTGTGAAGCTATCAACATTGAATGTGGATGCGGTTTGCAATCTATTAAAAAACATGGAAGAGATTCAACCATCTCAGTTACCCCAGTACCTTCAAGTTATACAACAAAACAACATTAATGGTCGAGTTTTGCTTCACTGTGACCTGGATGAGCTGAAAAAGGTGCGTCTGTAAATTTCAAGTAGAATGATAAGATAATTCCTCACATATTTAGTATTCAAGTCCGCCACTTTTTAAAAGTGTCTATGGCTTGGAAAAAACGAGCAAATTTTCAGTGTGGAAAACTAAACGGAAAAAGAAAGCTCATTAAATGATATTTTCGAATATTTATGTAATTATTTTGTATTCAAAATCAAATCCACCATTTGTCACCGATAAGCTGCTCATTTCTTCAGAATAATAAGTTGCAACGGAGGTGGGATGCAACCCTATCGAAATAAAGTATTTATGGTATTCGCTTAGAGCAGCATTATAGGTTGCATTAAATTTTTTTGGCACTAATCAAAGCTGTGACTAAATTTTGTACCAGGCAAGTCATACCTCATCTGAATTACAAGTGTCTCATTGTGGAAATTCCGTACTACTCTGAAAAAGGCAATCAAGTGAATTTAGTGTAGTAAAAGCAAATCGTACAAACAATATCAAATCTGTTTGTATTACTTGCATCATGTATAAAAATTAATATTGTGTTACAAATATTCACACGGATTCAAATGATTGCTATCCAGAAAAGATTACTGGACTTTACTGGTTTCTTTGTACTCAAAATTCAATATTCTTACATCCAAGGTGTTCCTTTGAGATTTTCTAGGATACTCAAGAATTAAAAAAAAAAAAAATCTTGACAAAATCTAGGTTGGAAGACTCGGCTTTGCTTTAAAGCTGATAATTTTCTACATTACGTCAAAACAGTCTTTTGTAGGCAAAGTATTTTAAGTTCAGTTTGAGAAATCTGAAGAGAAAAAAGAATCATTTCATCTCGAAACAAAATTCTGTGCAAAAGTCCCAACTAAAATATCAGCAAGTAACTAAAATTAAGTAATCCGGGTTATCTCAATCATATTAGACTATGTAATTATGTTAGTAATTTGTATTGATCCAGATATTGAAACCTGTAACTGAGACAAAATATGAATAATAACTTTTTCTCCCTCCATTCAACTGTTTCAAAAAGAGTTTTTTTCCTTTTACATATCTGAATGTGTGCTGATGTTCACAACCAAGAGTTTGCTTTTCATTTTTGACCCAGATTTTATCCTATGTAGTTCTAATGGCATCTCAAGAAAGAAAAGTTTTTTACTATTCTGAAAGTGTTTGATGTACTTGTAGTTTTTACTTTTACCATATTCATTTTCTCTGTTGTTTGTTTTAGATTCTATCAATGAATTTCGGTGACTGGGAATTATTTAAAATCACTATCGTTTCATTACGGGCGCAAGAAATGACATTAGTTTCCCAACAAGATGAGCTTCCCGGCAGAAATGTTAGGTTTAACAATAATCCCTCAAATCGATCTCAACAAACTCAACCGGAGCGAAGAGCCAGTAAGTTAACACATTTTTACAATTTTACTCCTGAACAAAAGATACACTCACAGTGAAATCTGAGTGCTATTGGAACTTACACTAATGTCTAGTTCAGTACGTCAAACTGGTCTGTGATGTGCCTCTGAAAACCGGTTGAAAAAACCTGGAATAGAAGTTATTTATCACTTTAGAGCATTGTTAGACTTTTTTGTAGAGATTCATTTGTTATTAAAAGGCACTAATTTTATGGGCTTTGCAGCTTAGGAGAGAAAAACATTTGAACAGAATAACAAACATGGATCACTGTATCAATGTTTCAAAAAGAATTTCTTTTTTGTTCATCGCATTTATTCTAATTCTTTATCTCCCATCACAATTTTTTAACAATACTTTTTGTGTCTCATTAATGCAGGTAATCCTAATTGTAAACCAAACAATGGCTCCAGTGGAAGTAGTAATCCAACAAGTCAATCTGATAGGGCAAACAAACAATCAGTAATGGAAAAGCAGGTAATTAATACATTTTACTCTGTTTTTTCCCCATTTTTTTCTTTTTTCTTTGCATTTCTTTTGCTGTTGATTGAAGCATTCATAGACTGCACATTCTTCAGGAAATTGGGTTTTTAAAGGAGACTCCTTATTTCATAAAATTAATTGTTTGAATCTCTAAAATTGAAATTCTATGCCATCATAGCTTTTCTTGGCCCTAAATCAGTATCCTCCTATATTAAGGACATCTACTGAATTATGCGTAATAATTTAAAATGACGTCAAAAATTTGATCCCAAGCTTGGTTATGAGACCAGTTATTTTAGGTGTTTACATTATTTTCCAGTGTCTCAAAGTAGTAGCTATCAGACAGCGTGAAGCCAATCATAAGTTCGTGTCATGCAGGAAATCCCTTACATCAGAGATTCCACGGGCAATCAATTGTTTGTTGGGAATACTCATGAATTGTTTGCAAAAATAGTTAATCATTCCAAAGATGTAACTCGTCACCCAAATGACCCCATAAATGCGAATAGGAAGATATACTATAACCAGTAATTCACACAAAGTCAGTTTGACAAAAAGATTTAATAATTTCAAATGGAGGTAGGGCCATTCTGTTAGATACCATCTGTCATATATATGTATATTAAATTGTTTTTCATTGTTTTTTTTTTGGCCTGCTTTTGGAAAAAGTATCAGGTAATTGCCTCATTTATCATATCTTAACTGTGCAAATTGTTATACCTGCATTGAGGAGAGACAAGTTCAAAAAAATCTTTTTTCCAGGGTTCTATGTGACCAAACTTAATATCCTCAGAAATCTGAGGGTAGTGGTTCAAAGGTGCATTTTACAGTTTATCTCAATCTGTCATTGTCCAGGAGATAGAGCTTTGAAATCACTTTTCGCACAACTTTCAAGAAAGGAACTTTTATCATGAAGCTAACTAACTCTCCGAAACTCAAGCAAAATATCGCACATCCAATAATACTTTACTGCAGGCAGTGTCCCATTCACAAGTCATAAAACATCATTCCCTAAGATTTGAATAGTAATTCTTTGCTCCAGACTGGGAGATATTTCATTACACAACTCTGCTTCTCTACCAAATTTTAGAAAAAAGGGGATTCTAGACAGCCCTGCTGAGGGGGAAAAATTCTATGTTTGCGTTTGTGGATTTTTAACTGATTGCTTGGCCTTGCCGACATTTATCAAGAATTGTCCAATGGGCCAGTTGCGCTGGTAAGAGAATAGTGTTTTGATGCTTGATTCTTGTAGATTAGCTAAAAATAAGAAGATCCGTCCAACCTGCAACTTCCTATGTCGGATATTAACCGAGATATCATCCTTTGAAAAGTCAGGTTTCTGAAGTCGTCCATCGTGGTAGTGCATAACATGGTATGTACTACCTTGGAGGATGACGTCATAAATTGAGTTTTTCAAGGTGCGATATCTCGGTCAATATTCATCGGAGAAAGTTGCGGTCGAAACAGATCTTATTGTTTTTAGTTGATCTGCGAGATTAAAGCATCAAAAGACGATTCTATGACTAGCGCAACTGACCCATTGACCCAAACGGTATCAAAAATTTTAAGAAGAATAGCATTCATTGATTCAAATCTGATCATAGAAACTTTTTAAGACTGCATGACCACCATTTTTATTATATTTTTCCTGTGGAGTGTATAAATAACTATTCATTGTTTTTTCTATAGGTAACACTTGAGGAGCAGATGATTTGTGGAGCACTGCAGACATTGAATGAAGAAGCGTGTGAGGATGTCTTGGAAGAGGCAGATGAGCAAGTTATAGCATCACTACAAGTGCCATCTTATGATCAGTCAGGTACCAGCTCAGATTCCGAGAATAGCTATTCGAACAACCAATCTTTGTCCGTCAATGAAACAGACTGCTTGATCGAACTGGAAGCTCCAACAAATCCTTGTGTCACCTCTGCCAGTAGTGCATGTCCATCAGTCTCATCTAGCAAGCATGCCAGTTCAAACAAGACCTTGCCTCCTCTTGCTGATTTGAACTCTGTTGAAGCTGCTTTTCCGCATGATGTTGCTTTATAATTTCTTATACTATTATTATACCACCTCTTTGAATCGGTCGTTTGTCTTGTTTTGATGTGTGATTTTTATTTCTTGCCACAGTACACTGCATGAAATTGCTTCAAGTTTAGTGCCTCTTTTTTACAGGGTGATCCAAAAGTCCCTTCCACCCCCTCTAATTTTTTACCTAATTGAGGTACAGATTTGAAACTTGGGGGATATTCCTAGGTAAAAGGGAGCTACTTTTTGGCCCCCCTAAAATTTTTAGGGGGGCCCCCCTTGGGGGGCAACGGCCCCCAACTTTTAATTTTCAAATGGGAAGACCCCCTTTGTGATAGCTCGTTCGAAAGAGCATAAAAAAAGAAAACTTTTCGCGCAAACCCGAAGTCAATATCTCAAACCCTTTCAAAATGGCGGCCGGTTAAAGTTCAAAATGGCCGAAAATTCACACCGGTTATTTGTCGATGGATTTGCGCGAAAATCGGTATGTAGGGGTATTTTGACACGAGAAAAACGAATTTGACGTTAGATTTTCAAAAAAAACCGAAATTTCCAAAATGGCCGCCGGTTAAAGTTTAAAATGGCCAAAAATTGTCACCTCGGTTTTTTGCTGATGGATTTGCCTAAAACTTGGAATTTGAGAGTATTTTGGCATTAGATAAACAAATTTGAACTTAGATTTCTAAAAAAATCAGTTTTTGGTCATTTTGAACTTTAACCGGCGGCCATTTTGGAAATTTCGGTTTTTTTTTGAAAATCTAACGTCAAATTCGTTTTTCTCGTGTCAAAATACCCCTACATACCGATTTTCGCGCAAATCCATCGACAAATAACCGGTGTGAATTTTCGGCCATTTTGAACTTTAACCGGCCGCCATTTTGAAACGGTTTAAGATATTGACTTCGGGTTTGCGCGAAAAGTTTTCTTTTTTTATGCTCTTTCGAACGAGCTATCACAAAGGGGGTCTTCCCATTTGAAAATTAAAAGTTGGGGGCCGTTGCCCCCCCAAGGGGGGCCCCCCTGAAAATTTTAGGGGGGCCAAAAAGTAGCTCCCTTTTACCTAGGAATATCCCCCAAGTTTCAAATCTGTACCTCAATTAGGTAAAAAGTTAGAGGGGGTGGAAGGGACTTTTGGATCACCCTGTATGTATTTTAGTATTAAGTTTAGGTTAGTCAAGCATGGCTCACAGTCAATCTGTAGAATACGCAAGTACCTCTTTGAAATCAAAATAGTGAAAAATTGAAGACACCAATGGTGTGGCGTTTAGCGCAATGAATCGATTAATGTGCCGTTTAAACCTATGGGATAGAATCAATTATCAGAGTGTCAGCAACAAACATCTTAATAATTGATTCTTTACATTAGATTCAAATGAGAAATTATCGATGATGGTCAATGATTCCATTTACACTTCACCATGTGATAATGAAAAAAAAAAAAAACAAGTGATGCTCAGTCCATTTTATCCAAGTAAATTTTATCTCTGTCTTTTCAATGTGAATAACCCTGCTAAATTTGTTGCAGACCGCATCATTATTCTTATAGATATCAAGGTGGTGCAAAACCAGATTTTGCTTTCAAAAAGTATGGATGGAAATCATTTGAAAGTTTAAAAAATGTTTTTATAAACTAAGGCTGATATTTAAGTTTCTTTTGAGAATGATTATAAACTCACTGTACAAAAATCCTGAGATTGGATCTAAGCTGCGAACAGAAAGTTCTAATACCTGAAAATACTTCTAACAAAACTTATCAAGTGGGAAACTAAAATCTTGATTCTCAATCAAAATTTGTTTTGAGGAAAAAGCTGTGCTTTCAGCCTAATGAGTTAACTTCATTATCTATTTTTCTACATTTTCTGCTTTGCTCTTTCATGGGTGGCAAAATTGGTAAAAAGTTACCTCATTCTGTGAGCTACAATCTTTCTGGGCTACAATGAAGCAGAGACAGCCACTTGTATAGTAAATTTCTCAAAGCACTTCTAAGCATTCCTCAAGCAAAGCCCATGCAAGTTTGTTGTTTCAGTCATCTTATACAGTGCCAAAAGTTCTTATTTAAGCCGTGTTAATTTTAGTAAAATAGTACCTTCAAATTTTTACTGCTGTTTTTTTCGAAATACGGATTCCCCAGTTTTTTGGTGCTCTATAACATACATTTTCACTGATTTTAAAATTTATTTGGGTAAATCTGTGGCATAATATATCTAATTTCGTGTGTCGTTTTATGTCATCAATTAGGTAATTTTCAATCTTTAGGATGTACTTTAGGATTCCTTTCATAGTTAGGGTGAAATATGTATCTGCTGTCTTGCAAAGTCTTATTTTAGAGCATGCAATGTGGTTGAACATCCAATTATTTAGCGTATTTTGTATGTTTCTCTATGGTAGAAATTCCCTCCTTTCTAATGAGACTGATTTAATTTTAACGTAAAGTTGAAAATGATTTTTCGATGCAAGTCATGCAGTTTTTGTTTTCAGATGCATCATGTGCCATTATAGAAGATAGGTATTCTTAGAATTTGTGTTTTTGGCTTGTTATGTTTTGTGAAACATCACTTACTTCTTTCTATAAAGGATCTGATCCAAAAAAAGGTCCAGTAATATAATTTAACTGCAAAAAAATAAATTTAATTCTTCAGAAATAAAAAAAGAAACAAAGAAATTACATTGGCTTGACTGTAACATCGTATTTCTTGATCCCACTTTTTTTTCTTCTTCCCCCTGAGCAATTCTTTTTTAAGAATCTTTATTGTGATATTCTTTCAAGAATTTTAAGAAGCTGTGTTTTTATAAATATATATCTTTTTTGTTGATTGCTCTGCCTTTTGCTTGGTTCTTCTATGCACATCTTTCTTACGTTTCTGCACGTATTACGTAAGTTGAGCTTTTTCCGCATGAACAGAGGTTTTTAACCTCCCATAGTGTCAAAATTATGAATCAGTAAAAGATCAGTCAACGATCAGTAAAAATAGCTGATTGGTCTGTTTAATGAAAGATCTTCAGCTGTTGAGTGTCTAAGTAGGGTTATTAACTTTTGAGTCTTACTTTGTAGGAGAATTCAATGTGATTTGAAAATTTAGGTGGCAGATGGAAAGTTATCGGTATTTCAGCAGTTTAAAGATCCTTGGTAAAAATAGGCCTTGTTTCCGCACCAAAAAAAATTGACTATTGTAGATTTGAACCAATGGATCACTAGACAAGGTACGAATTTAAGCAATCTGATACATGTTTCTTAACCAGAATTTAATGTGGAACACGATTCGCACAACGGAAACTAATGAAACCAACTCCTAACGAAGATATTAACGTTTTTGTTTCACATTGGTTACGAGGAATTTGAACTGCCCGCTCACATGAAACTCAAAGCTCTACGTGAGTCAAATCGCGCACTACAACGGTTTCAGCAAGCTTCTCAAACAAGCAATGTTCATTTCCCACCATGTGTTGCTCAAACTATGAGCAATTTGCTATAGCTGAGCCAAAGTGTCAAAATTGAGGTTGCCAGATTTTTAAATCGCAGATACTGTCATGATAACGTTTAGCGCGCGATGCGAATCATGTAGAGCATTGAGTTTTCATGAGCGGGTGGTTTGAATTTACGCATCAAGAATCATTGAATATCTTTGGAAGGAGTTAATTTCGGTAATTTTCGTTGTGCGCATCGTGTTCTATGTGAAATTTTGGTTAAGAAACATGTATCAGAATGCTGAAATTCGTACCTTGTCTAGTGGTCCATTGTAGCTTAAATCAAAGCATATGATGACACAGCACTTTGAGCGAAGTTTTAGCAAGAATTCATGAATGGTTTACAGAAAACAAGAGGGACAGGAGCTGAATTCCATGGATTCTTTCAAGAAAAACTCCTATCAATAACTTGGCTTTTTTCTTTCCAGATTCTATTTATGTGTGTAAATTAAGCATTCTATTGATTTTCACTGTAAAAATTGCGGAAAGATACTCATAAAATGATTTAAGGGAGGTTTGTTTTTCAAATTTTTGACCAAGTTTCATGCTCTGCACCTCCAATTATCCTCCACCCCACGCTTTTTACAAACCCCTCACATACCTCAGTTGAAATTCTGTCATCATATGCATAGATTCAAAAGCCTTTGATCCAAAACAACAATGGTCTTTTTGGGAGTCATTTTTATCAAGCTTTAAAAATAAGTTTCATCTCTATTCTTTTAAAAAGTATAATACTTTTTTATTGCAGTCACAAAAGTGAAAACAAGAACTTGAACATCGAGCCCTTAGGTTTTAAAGGCCTTTTATCCAATGATTTTTGTTTGTTTATTGTAGGTTTCTGTTTTTCAACCAGGCACCATTTACTGGGAAAGGTTCACTTCTTTTGAACCAAATTTTTTTCAGAGGTCAATATTGCCCTAAATGAATACATGTTCATACAGTTATAGATAAACATTTTATCTCTTTAGTAAATCTTAAATTTTTGCTAAAATGTCAATGCAAAGAGTTTGTTAAATTTGTGTCAACTGTCCAACACTTTGCAATGAAATAGAATATGAAAACATAGGAAATTGATATTTACATTTCTATCCCAAAATAAATATAAATGAATTAATGAGCAAGAAAAAAACACCAAGAATGTGGCCTGCACTGTAAGTAACAGGATACTAAAATATCGAATGAATAAGCAGAGGACACTACAAGGGTGAAACTGGAGGAACAAGTGACTTCTTTTTCGGTGTCTCAAAAATTCCGCCTCCGTTCTATTTCATCAAGAAAATCAACCTACACTACTACTTTAAACGTTCATTTATCATTCTTCACACATGGAAGGAAAATAAGGGATATTTTCAAGGCACGGCATTGAGCCTTTTTCCATTTAAAAACAAAGTATATGATGGAAAGTCTGCATTATCAAAGACCAAGTTGCGCGTTCCTGCGATTTCAATATCGACTAGCTTCATCAGACTCGGGAGATCACAGGATTGAACATTTTAGTGACTCCCAAGTTTATGACGAGATATTAGTGCAAGAGAACAGTGACATTACGTTAAAAGCTAACTAAAACTGAAAGCCGCCAAGGTTTTCTCACCTTTGCTTTAATTGGGATGAGAAGTAATTTACAGCTCTTTTAAGGTCTAAGGTCTTTTGAGTCCCCAACGTCGAATTTTCATGATTGGCACAGTTGTAGGTGCTTAGTTTTTTTTTATTTCTATTGCCAATAACAACTCATACTCCATTTTACTATTAATTTCTCTGGGACTTCAACTTCAAACTACAATTTTATCCTAAATATCGACGGCGTAAGTCCACAATTACATATCTAGTTTGCGGTTTCTGAAAATCTCCGCCTCTATGTTATTTTTTTGAATGAGAACAAATTGACATCATTCCTTGAAGTTTTTGCAGAGTATTCTTCGCACAGAGAAGAAAAATCATGGCAGTTTTAAAGAATTGCCGTTGAGTAGTTTTCCGTTTAAAAAATAAAGTATGACAGGAAGTCTGCGACATCACAAACCAAGTTATGTGATTGCCAACTTACACCATCGATATGTTTATTTTTCTTTTTTAAAGAAATAGTCTGTAAGAAAGCCATTAAATTTTTTAGTGAGATTATTAGTTTGTAGACACTGGATTTATTGAACAAAGATATGATTTTCAAATGCCTCTACCTGCATTATTTTTTCAGTCCATGTTGATTTCTGGTGATATTATTATCCTTTGGGCTTTAAAAATGTAGCTTTCTGCTGATGAGTGAAATGTACAAGGAAAAGTTTCTTGATACTCAGAAGGTGCACCATTATCAAACGCAGTGAATGCATTCTGGGACTTTTTTTCATGAGCTCATTAGTCAAGGTGAAATAAATGTGTTAAATCTCTCTTTGGTTAGCATTTTCAGGTAGATGCGAGAATCTACATTCCCAAGTAGCAGTGATCGCAATAAATAACGATTTTATCGGTTGATTATCGCGATATATCGGTGACAATGTTATTGAATAAAAAATTGCGATTTATGGCGAGTAAATTGCTATGCATCGCAATTTTTTGTTTGATAAAATTGCGATCAATTTTCGTCGATAAAATCGAGATTAAATCGCCGTATATTGTGACTTTTGTTTTGATAATATCGCGATAAATTGCCGGGCGATAAAATCGCGATTTTATTGCAACACGATTGAGGATAATCGCTCAGATGTTGATGAACCTGGCGATTTTATCGCCAATAAAAGCGCGATTTTTCCATTGGAAAATGCTATTTGAGTAAGGGCATGAGCAAAGCGTATGAGCTCAGAAAGAACTCATTAAACTGCAGCTTTACTCATGTCTTGGGCTTTTTTTCTATTTCTGTATGACAGAAGTTTGCGCACAGTTTTGTACAACACTCAAAGACAACAGCAATAGTGCTTTGTAGGTACAAAGTGCTCATCAAGAAGTTCTGACCCGTTGATTCCGTCCTAGCAACAACGGTCTAAGTCTCAGTCTATTCTTCACCTGATCCCTCTTATTTCCCTTTTCTTTTTAATTCATCAAGAGAATCATCATTTGGAGTATTTCCTCATTATGAGTGTTATTTTTTTCCTGTTCAGACTTGAACTATATTCCGCTTGAGGCGGATGTTGGAATCGTTCTACCTCCTTTCTGACTACCCGCTCTGCTCTTAATTAGGTAATTTTTTTGTCCAGGTAAATTATTTGCTCCGAGTGCATTTGAGCTTATTAATTTTTCCTTAGGCGGAAAAAAAATCATAACATCATAACTGTCCTTAGGTTTTTGCCTTTACATCCTCACTTTGTGTATACAGTGGCTTTTAAGTGAGGATTGTTGTATCATGAATTTTCTTGCCAGTAGAAATAACAGTTTTTTAACCCCTTTACCTGTAAAAATTTTAACACATTGATTCTCTGCAGCCTCTACATTGATTATGAAATTTCTGAATAGGATAAAATTGGTAGAAGATTATCGTAGGAAAGTTTAATGTTATTTAGATCTTACTTTACACATAGTTTGTACCATGATTTTTGTACTTGTCCTATCATGATTATGTTATTTTTAATCCTTCCTGCATCTGCTCCAAGTTCCTCTCTTCCTGGTGGTAGTTTTTGAGGTACACTCAAATTAACTCATAAAATAGGTACACTTAGCTCCACAATATATTCTCAAAGTCAACCTAATCCTCTTGCTTTTCTCCAAATTTTGCTGTTACAGTATTATCCTGCAACAAATCTATCGCTCTTAGTTTCCATCGCTGTGTGTCGTTATGTTTGATAATGAACGTATGTAGATGCAAGTCCTCAGAAAATATGATCTGGTTCTGAATCTTTAGTATCTGCATAGAATTTTCTCTACCACTCTTCACATAGGAGAGAGAGAAAGGAAAATATATTGATGGCTGAACTGTGAAAGAATGTAATTGGATCGCAAGATTTTAGAATTTCCACTCCAATTTTATTTTTTAAAGTTAAACAAACCATTTTATCGCTTGAAGTTTTCACTAAGCATTCTTTGTACCGAGAGACGAATTTATGGAAATTTTCAATAAATTTCACGGATCATTGTTTCAATTCTAAAATAAATATGATGTGTTGATTCATTAATAAGACGTGTTTATATTATAATCTAACTGTGATTCGTTTTTTCGGAGGTAAGCCATTGATTTGTCAAAAGGTGAAATAGAGCTAGTAGGTGAGCTATGTATTATTAGAATGGTAGAATTTTAAGATCCGAAGTAAGACTTTGTAAGTGTTTCAATTATACTGCAATAATTTATTCAAGAAAGCCATGGTTGGGACAATGCCAAACTTGAAAACTGAAAAGGGTGTATGGAAAAAATTTGCATGTTGAATAATAC